AGCTCCTGCCATCCAAAGAGGCCCAAGAAAAGAGGTGTGACCTGTGAGGGGAGCTCCTGGTCCTCCTTTGTCAAGCATGTACTAAATAATTCTAAGTATCATAAATGCCATTAGATACTGCCCTGTCCTCAGGGAGCTTATAGCCTAACTGAGAGGAAAAAAATTAAAGTTCTGCAAAAAATGGGAAGCAGGATAGAATCCCGGGCTTTGAAGTCAGACATATAGGGTTTGCCTGGAACCAAGAGTGTTCCTGGGTTATGGCACTTTCAGTTTTAAAACAAGAACGGTGCCAGGGATACCAGAATAAGTTGGTCACCCTACAGACAGATGAAAGTTCAAGTTTAGTTACCTTTGGGACCTTAACAAATAAAATAACTTCTCAAAGACTCGGATTCCTCATTTATAAAATGGGTATCAGAGTAGTACTACCGCACCACATATTTCTTCTAAGAATTCAATAAGCTATTGTATAAAGAGAACTAAGCACAGGGCCTACTATTGAATAGTTGATCAATAAGTGTTAATTCTGTATATACAATCAATAATACAAGATAGCATATAGTGAAAGACTGAATTAGATGTCTGTGGAACTAAAAACAATGGGATAAGAGATAATTGGATCATTAAGAAAAAGTTCCATAGTGATAAAATCAACAGAAAAAATATAGATTGCCCAATTCAATTTGAATTTCAGATAAACAACAACTAATTTTTTAAGTATAAGTGTGTACTGTACTTTTAAAAGTTATTTGTTATTTATCTGAAATTCAAATTTAACTGGCTCTCTAGGTATTTTATTTGCTTAAAATGGCAACCCTACATAGAGGAGGTAGAACTTAATTCGTCCTTTAGAGGAAGAGGGAAGAAAGAAATGCCAGGCAGAGGGATAGACATGAGCTGCAGTGGACCAAAGACAGGAGCAATGCATGGGATGCCTTGTAAGTTTTTAGAGCAAACACTGAGATCCAGGCTAAAAAGCCTAGATTTAATGCAGAATATACGGGAGAGTTAGAGGTAAGGTGCTGGGTCCTGGGATAAGGTGAGAATCAAAAGGAAGAGATGCTTCACAGAAAGAATGAATGAGACATTATGAAGGAAAAGAGTGGATTCCATATTTTGAAACCAAGTCACTTGGAGAGGGACTTTGTAACCAAGGAGATCAAGTATGTGGCTATCATTATAGTTAGGTAAGTGGCCTGAATTCAGCCACCTCACTCCTGGTGGCAGCAGGAA